GAATGCTCTATATAACACATTCCTATCAGATATACAAATGATTTCAATGAACATTGATGAAGGCTTAAAATTTGAATATAACTTTGAAATAAATTTTATAGTTTCTCTGAAATCTTCTGCATTTTGGAATCCGGGAATCTGATGGTTTTATTTACAATATAATACAGATACATCGATCATTTATAGACGTTTGAATGCTATGGTGTGCTTTCAAGTGTTCTATTGCTTTGTGCTGAAGAGACTCCCTGTTGTGACAATTCCGTAAATGGGGGCTCCTAACCTAATGATTATTTTTATAAAATGGATTACGTCTACGTTGGTGTCCCTAAGACCAGGAGTCATAGTTCAATGGAGTTAAATGACTATCACAACATTATTGACATTCAGTTAAATTCAAATTGACTAAATTTAAACAGAACGATTGATCAAATGTCAATATTTCTCCTTTCTTCACTTGTAAACGACTGTGTTTTCAAGTTTCTATTTCTAATAGACTACAATGACCTTAACATTCTCTTGTTGATATCTAATTGATTAAAGTTGTTCAGATCATTTTTCAGACAGTGTTATTACTAACGAATCGTCAAACAAATGGCACCTGTAATTATTTAGCGATATTTTGAGCTTGGGCAAGAATTTTTTTTTTTAGATGGAATCATTTTTAGAGCTTTTATGAATCAGTTCCAGGACCACAGGGGAAAAAGAGGTAAAATGTATCACCAAAGTTATACATTCTGTCTTAAATTTTCAGGTTTGTTTTATTTCATAATTAATAATATTAAATGATTTTAGTAGGGTGTCAAACCTTTTAAATAGCAATTACTGTTTATCAATTATGTGATTTTCTCCTTTTACATACATTGTACAATATCCTGGGATTTTCTAATCTTTAATATTTGTCATTTTAAGCTATGCATAATAAAAATACTTTATATATATATATATATATATATATATATATATATATATATATATATATATATATATATATATATATATATATATATATATATATATATATATATATATATATATATTTAAGGGGGGGGGGGGAATTGAGTGAATTTATACAAAATTTACTCTTAAAATATTAAACTTTTATACCTTATGTACGAAAATATATTTGAGATATTTTGAAACTTTATGAAATTTGTAATTCTATTTCTCAGATAAGAAATAGATAAATCTTTATAATCATTTGGTATTTTAATCAATAATAAGACTAAGGTAGCGTTTATATTTACAATATATAAAATACTAGTGATTTTCGAATGTTTAAAACTGTTTTGTTATATTTGGTCCTTTTCAAACTTTCTCATAATCATAATGTTTGGTTAGAAAATAGCTCAACGGCATTGGCGATTCTTATGGAGATAATTATTTAACAAATACTAGTCAGAATATTTACAACTGCTGGACATTTACATAAAGTATCAGAAACATAAATCAACTCCATTAAGCTTAATTGAAAATAAAAATATTCCGAAAATCACATGATGTTTTGACGTCCTTTCAACACGATTTAGTTTCTAAATAGTACTGGAATCTGGTAGTACAGTAACAAAGTTTCAAAAGTTGGTAAAAAGAGAATTTGACGAAAACGGGGAATAAAATGTCATTTCAACAAAGGAACACTGAGCTGGTATTAATGCATTAATGCAAGTTATTTGTTTCTAGGGAGGGGGAGAAATATAATGTACATGTGCATTGATATTTTGATATTTATTATAGCAAAACAAGATATGTTTGTGAAACACTGATGCCCCCGTATGGCAGCTTATGGCGAAGGTTAAAGTTTCTCAAATGCAAGTCAAAATTCAGGCAAAAAGATAAAAAATGTTAAATTTGAAAGCTCTAGCTGCAACTGTTCAAAAGTATGGCGAAGGTTAAAGTTTTTTAAAAGTAAGTAAAACATCAAGGTCAAGCTCAAAGTTGTTGGTATCCAAAGGAAGGTCTTGTCACAAGGATTACATATGTGACGTACGAAAGCCCTAGCACCAACCATTCAAAAGTTATGGCCAAGGTTAAAGTTTTTCGAAAGTAGGTCAAACTCCTAGTCAAGGTCAAAGGGTCAAAGTGGTTGGTATTCAAAGGAATGTGATGTCACAAGGATTACATATGTGAGGTATTGAAGCCCTAGCTTCAACCATTCAAAAATTATGGCCAAAGGTAAAGTTTTTCAAAAGTAGGTCAAACTCCAATGTCAAGGTCAAAGGGTCAAAGTGGTTGGTATTTAAAGGAAGGTGATGTCACAAGGATTACATATGTGACGTATGAAAGCCCTAACATCAACCATTCAAAAGTTATTGCCAAGGTTAAAGTTTTTCAAAAGTAGGTCCAACACCTAGGTCAAGGTCAAAAGGTCAAAGTGGTTGGTATCCAAAGGAAGGTCTTGTCACAAGGATTACATATGTGAAGTATGAAAGCACTAGCTCTAACCGTTCAAAAGTAATGGCCAAGGTTAAAGTTTTTCAAAAGTAGGTCAAACTCCTAGGTCAAGGTCAAAGGGTCAGAGAGGTTGATATCCAGAGAAAGGTCTTGTCACAAGAAATACACATGTGAAGTTTGAAACCCCAAGCACCAACCGTTCAAAAGTTATGGCCAAGGTTAAAGTTTTTCAAAAGTAGGTTAAACTCCAAGGTCAAGGTCAAAAGGTCAAAGTTGTTGGTATCCATAGGAAGGCCTAGTCACAAAGAATACACATGTGAAGTTTGAAACCCCAAGCACCAACTGTTCAGAAGTTATGGCCAAGGTTAAAGTCTCATAAAATTTTGCACAAGTGGGTCAAACTCCAAGGTCGAGATCAAAAGGTCAAATATGATGGTACCCAAATAAAGGTCTTGTCACAAGAAATACACATGTGAAATATGAGAGTCATAGCTCGAACCAATCAAGAGTTATGAGCAAGGTTAAAGTTGACAACAGACAGACAGACAAACAGAAAAACAGACAGACAAGACAAAAACAATATACCACCGGGATCTTTCGATCCGGGGGCATAAAAAAAATCGCAAATTTAGATTTTACGATCTATGAAGCTGTTGTTTTCCCTCTTCTAAATAACTTAAATTTAGTTTTCGGCATATATCTTTTGGCCTGTCCGTCCTTCTATCTAGCTGTTTTCTGTTTTTCCGCAAAACTTGCCCATAACTTTTGGTACTAGAGCTTTTATATTTCACATGTGTATTCCTTTGTGACAAGACTTTTCTATGGCTTCCAACATAATTTATTTGACCTCTTGACCTTGACCTTGAAGTTTGACCTACTTTTCTAAACTTTAGCAAACTTAACCTTGGCCATAATTTTGAAACGATTGGTGCTAGTTCTTTTATATTTCACATATGTATTTCATGTGACAAATCGCTTCTCTAGTGTACCATTTTTTTTCCTTTTTGACCTTGACCTTGCAGTTTGATCTACCTTTGAAAACTTTAACCTTGGCCATAACTTTTGAACGGCTGGTGGAAGGGCTTTTATATTTCACAAGTATATTTCTTGTGACAAGAACTTCCCCTACCTTGCAACATTTATTTTAACTCAAAGATTGACTTTTAAAAAAAGACAGATCATAGGCCCGTACTACTTGACAGTTGTAGTTTTGTTTCTATACTTGCTTTCATGATTCAATGATTATCATTGTGTCTACCCTTATTGATAAATTCAGCTTTCAGTATTATTTTTGGCTTTGTAAAGTAATACGGAAAAAGCAATAACTTTCTTTTGTACACAAAATTTATATTGATTTATTTCTACAGAGATTGGCAGATAATCATTAGATCATATTGGTTATATCTTTTTAGAGCTATATCAAAAGTAAAGTTTAACATGTCTTACGGACTTTGTGAAAAAAAGATTTGACGTCCATCAGATCCCCCTTTTGTACACTCATGTCAATCTTTTCCGTTTTCGTTCTTGTAAATATGCTACTTGGAGAATTTAAGGGTTATTGATACAAAAGATCAAACGACGAGTTCCCTTAATACCGATCATTATGATTTACACGCGGTTTTTCTATTGACTATAATAACTAGTTCAATGGGATATGGGTACAGATTTATATACATTGGACGTGTGAAGTTAATACACTTAAACAAGAGATTTATTCTCAATTCTACAAGCTAACTGCCAGCATATAGATTATAACAGATTACCACAGATTTAAATTCGGTGTTTAAAAGGTAAAGTGAAATATAGTTAGAATTTCAACACCAGCATTGTTCCACATTGTTCAGCTGAAATGATGCATCCAATTTCATTTTTTCTTTAGTAAACATTGGATAAATACAACAGAATACAAATCCAAGTAAGTATCTTACGGCTGATATTTTTTAAACATAGAAAAACAACTAAGACAAAAAGTTTGTACGATGTGCTCTTTCAAACTTTTAAAATTTATGTACAATACTTTCTATTTTAGTATTGGAAAGACTAGTTCATTTATATTTTTCGTGTATGAATGAAATAAATAAGAAAATTTAAAGAATATGTTTGGCAAATATTTAATTAATCGAAGAATAATGAGTATTTGCTAACTTACATATGAATCTAGTTTATTTTGTACCATTTTTCTTGGTAAAATATTAAGGGGTATACTAAGAGGCCAAATTTGTATTAAAATTATTCTATTTTCGGAAATCTATTATTGTTTAATACACAGTCAGGCAAATTCTGATTGTATTAAATGATTTGGAGGTTAATCCTGTACCAGGTGATTATTTAAATGTAATAATTAAAAGGACAAACCTCACGACCCAATGGGGACAAATGAAAAAAAAGTGAAGATAACGGACATATGAATTATAAATTTTTAGTTCGTAAGGGAGGGGGAGAGAGAGAGAGAGATCATTGGCATATTGACTTATAAACAGAAGAATCTGCATATTAAAAGATGCTCAGTAAGGATTTAGGCAATTTAGAAATTTTGTTTTAGATATACTACATGTTATCTGACTTAAACCAATTCTTTTATTTTATACCTAAGGATATTTTGTCCTTTCAGGATGCCACAAGTACATAATAGATCGTTGACGCTCAATATGGACTCCAGTGCTTTCAATAAAAATTCCAGATATATGTCTACCATCAGAATGACTCAGGGAGCGAAACGAAAGATTCGGGCATTCAACACAGTGGAAAATCGTTTGAAAAAATTCCAAATCAATTTTTACAATCGACACGCGGAAATTCAAAGGTACCAGATGGAAAGAAAAAAGGAAAAAGTTCGAGATCTTATGAAAAAAAGAGATGCTTACAGAAAGGTGATTGCAAATCACCCTATTGCTGCTAGTCCTGATTACAAGAAGGCACTGGAAGACAGATATACTGCGCATGCTCTACGGCATGAAATAAAGCAGATGCTGAGCTATATTGAACCCGATAAAATAAGGGAGAGAAATGCTAGGACTCTCGTTGACGTAAATAAAAAGAGATATGACGAGATTTTGAATCGAAATCGTAAATCCATCTTAGAGTTGTTTCCTCCTCCGGTGGAAAAGAAGGTAGAATATGAATCGGACTTTGAAAGTGATTCGGAAGATGAAGAACCGCCGGAACCGGAAACGAGGAAATTCCAGCAAGCCCGACCTATGTTGCCTTTCCGTCGTCAAGGAGTTACACGTGCATTTATCATGAATAAGTCTAGACAAGATCAAAGACAGGAAATTTCCACTGAAGAAAATTCTAGTTCAACCAAGGAACAAGATTTACCACCAGTGACGTTAAAGAAAGAATTGCCACCCGATCTTCGAATTCCCGTGGCTTCGTAGTCTTTCTTTGACACATCGGAATATTATGCATCAGTGTTTCATTATCCATTATCAGAGTTCGATGAGAATAATCATATAAACAACAAATAGATATTCTTGAATGTATTCCTCCATATCAGGCTGAGAGTCCAAACAGACACCGCGCTGCTTATCTGCATTGATCGTATGCATACCTCACAAGTTGTATTTATCATGCATGTATTGAGATCTTGCCATTATCAGTACATTACTAAATATTTACTTAATTCATGTGTTTTGGTGCTTGCATAATGAGAAAGAACACAATTTAAAAAAAACTCAATCAACGCAATTAACCAAAATTGTCAAAAAATATATGTAAATATATATAAAATATATTCATTTGGTTGCTCTTTTATTTACTTAAGTATTATTGTAGAGCTATTTTGAATTCAAGATGCGAATTTTTATGTTAAATTTCCCCCTTTTTAATCAGGTGCATTTGTTCCTTAGGTGAAACCTTCTCATATATAATGAATATTTTGGTCTGTTATTTGTACGAAATAGAACAATAAGCTCTGCTTCAACATCACTTGTACACAATGTACTTTGTAAACAAGTTATCTTAATTCCCTAAAGTACTTTATACACCATTTGTAAGTCGACCCTTTGAATTGTTTTATGTTTTTGCATTTTTGTATTATATTAAATCATTATCTGATAATCTAATAAAGTTTAATTTCAACAATAAAAACGTTTTTCCATCATTCCGTCAGTCTTTTATATTTTCCTTTTTTTTCTCTAAACCGACTGTACCAGTATCGACAAACTTGGCACAAAATATCAATAAGGTAAAGGAATTTATTATTTTTTCGGATGAACAAGGAGAACTTTTCAATAAGTACTTAATTAAAATAGGATTGCTCCAATAAACAATCATAAAACCATGCATTATGATAAGAAACATTTTTAAATTTAATCAATTCCTGACCCCAGGGAAAAAATGGGATTCGTTATGTTATATATACCCTATAAGTGTTTTTTTAAATGCTACCAAAATGTTCTTTTATCAAACAGCTTTTGGTGTCAAACTTTTATTAGAGGAAAAAATATTAATAACAAATCCATATTTAAACATACACTGAGTTTTACGGGTAGTCGTTAACTAGGGCAGAATTTTGACGATGGAATGGCTTTCGAATTTCAAAACATTTTCATAACAAATGATAAATTTAACAATTTATGTAGTTTAAGTATTTAAATAGATGTAACAAGGCATTGGAAAATCTCATTTAAAATCAACAATTCACAAATTCTATGACCTATCTTTCGTTGGGTAGTATTTGGACAGACATGTTTCACACCAATTGTTAGGCCATAGTCTTTATACCAATTTTGACTGTTTACCAGATCAATGCATTGGGTTTACGGCGCTGGTGAGACCAGTCGACAAGGGATGCTTATTTCTCTGGGCACCTGATCACCTTTCTGGCGTTTCCAGAGCTCCGAGTTTTGCCCTGTTCAGGATTGGCACTGTTTACAGAGTATATGGAAATGATCCCTGTTCGTAAGCTTCACTTCTTTCATCTTAATGCCATGCAAAAAGTTGCATGTTAGACGTAAAGCTGTTAAAAAAAAGACCCAAGAGGCGATACAAAGTTTTTTTTTCTTGCCCTACAGGAAAGACAAGGATCACTTAATTCCTTGTCTTGAATGACACCCCGTACCCATCCCTGCATACCCTCCCAACCCAACTCCCTATCACAACCCCCAAAATAAATAGAAAAAATTCCAGAGCAAATTCAGCTTTCCCTGAAAACAAGCTACAAATTGGTCAAAGGTATCATGTAGTACACTTGATCACTCTTTAAAAAAGTTATGAAAAATAATAAATGGAGGTTGTCTTAATACAAATAGAAACACGGTTAGAAGCATTGCGCTTATTGCCAAACCATAATCAAATTACGTCATTGAAATAAGTTCAAATGACAATGTCTTTAACCCATGTAAGGACTTCGAGTGCAGATATATACCATTTTAATTGGCAGCATCTGGCAGGTACAGTTTTTTTGTATTAAACCTAACTACTACTCGTAGATTATTCGCTTTGCAATGTCAAAGCATATGGCAGTTTCAATTTCGGTATTTTCATTTTTTTTTTTTTTTTTTTTTTTTTTTTTGTGTATTATTATTATTATTATTATTATTATTTTGGCAAAATTATTGTGGCAGCGGCCAACGCCCCTGTTACTCTTTTTACGATGACCTTGAATGACAATTAATAGTGATATTCATATATTGTGAAAATATTTAATATAGTAAAACGACATTCTGAAACATGAACCATAAAATTTTTAAATTTGAATAAACATGGAGGATATCTAGATTCAAAGAACCTCGATCTTCCTTTTATCCTGTACGTGTTATGTCTGAAAATGATGCCTTTTATAACAAACATGCTATTGCAGTTAAATTTTGATTACAACAAACATTCCAAAAGTGGATCAATTAGGACTCTTAACCACTGTAGAATCATTTATATTCTTTGTGGGGTCAAATTTTCATGATTTTGGGGAATATACACTGATTCAAGGGGACTTGATTTCGTGGTTAAGGGAAAAACATCTTTGTTTGATATTATAAGAAAAATAGCATTTCGTGGGGATATGAATTTCTGGGTCTATATGACACGAAAACAAAGAAAATTACCCCTCCCCCGAAAATTAGTGATTATTTAATATAAAAGTAGAAGCAGCTCGAATGATAACAGGACTTAGGAAAAATTTATCAGTTAGGTTGGAAACCATTAAATAAGAGAAGAGAAATACAAAAGATTTTATTCTACAAAATTGTGTATGGTATGCTCCTCTAGCGCTCTACTTACAAGAATTGGTCGTACCTTTTATGCCACCAAAGCATGCACAATCTTAGAAATAATGATAATTGTAACTTTGTGATACCTCAATCTGGAACAGTCTCATATTTCAACAGTTTTCTGCCTTTTACTATTCAGTTATGGAACGTTACAAACAAAATGTATTGATTCCTACTCAAGTTTTAAGAATGTCCTTTAGAAACCTACTGTAGATAGAATAAACAATGTCAACATTTTTAATTAGGTAATCGCAAGGAAAACATCATACATACATACATTGTTAACGAAGAAATGAATCTAGTAATATAAATGTTCATCTGTTTAATCAGTATTTTAGTGAAATAGCATCTTGTACGAGGTGTGGATATCAAAGTGAGGATAACTATCATTTTTTCTTAGGATGCCCTGCCTATAATTATCAGAGAATGATACTTTTCGAAAGTCTTCAGAGCATAATAGAATAGAACCCTCTCTCTTGATCAAATTTTGCATACTTTGGAGACTTTGGTATTTGCTTTGACAATTACCTAATAAAACTAATTGTTCAATTATTTGAAGCAGTTCTACTGAATATCAAGACTTCAAAGAGATTTTAATTTTATTTCATTTTTAAGATTTATTAAATTTCTTAATATTTTGATATTATACTTACATGTACTTCATATCTCAGTACTTCCATGTAAATGTTGTATTTTTTTCTTGCATGTTTGTCTTTTGCACTGTCTTTATTTATTGTCTTTATTTATCTATCCAGTTTTGTTTTTTGTTCCACTCTTTAATCTTTTTGTATCTTTCCATGCATACATGTATTTGTCTTTTGCACTTTTTCTTATTATTGTTTACCTATTCAATTTTGTTGTTTGTTTCATTTTCTTTTTTTCATATTATATAATGTGGATATATGCTATGCTTTTTTCCTGTGTATAACTTATCTTGTTTTCATTTCATTCTTTTCTAGTTTACATTAGAAATCAATATAATTCATTATGAACTACGTTATTATTGTCAACCATTACACATTATTGTTAAGAGCCATTCTCTATAATGACTAAAAATTGATATAGGGGATATCAACTATTAGACGTTACTATAAAAATAAAGTATTTAGAAATAATAATTTTATTCATTCATTTTTATAAAGGCATATAATCAAAAATAAAAGCAATATTATTATAGGTTAAAATGCATCCACATAATACAGAAAGACACATACCAAGAACAAAATTTGATATTTCATATTGATAGACAATGGTTGCCATGGTTTTAATGCCGCTAAGGGAGTTAATATTTACTCTCCGTATGCTTTAATCTGATCCTATCTTTTTAAAAAGCACTTTTCTATATAACTGGTGATCAATTTTCAAAGGCATTGGTCTTGTTTTTATTTTCACATTTCAAAAAGTTTAATTTAAATTCTTTAGATAGAGCGCTGCTATGGAAATAAGCAAAAAAATATGTATAAAAAGCTGAGAAATATTTTGTTTCATTGGAGAGATACCCTTGTACATGTATGAACAACTAACCTGACTTTCAATTTTGATTATCACACAATCTCTAACTGGATGCAAGAATCTACCACGTGAGGTTTAATAATGCTATAAATTAAACAAAATCCAACTTTTTCCCTTCTTGTTAACCATAGCAAATATATTTCTCTTGATAAAAGGTAACTACATTCCAAAAGCAGCAAAAAATAAATATCCCTTTAAAGCACTAGTACGTTGTTTCCATGGTTACACTGCAAAGTAGCAATCAATTCTAGTTTTTCTTATGTTATCTGTGTTCACGGTCCTAATGATGTACATTTACCAGTCTTGAATTTCCATGTTTTTCAATAGTGAAAATTGAGCGTTTTTCAGAATTTTTCTGCATTTAAAATGTATTCCAAATGTACCTGTGGTTGCCACCTACTTAGAGATATATTCTAAATTGTTTCTTTATAGCATAAATGGCAATAAGGTGTCCTGTTTTTGTGAGAATGGTTTGTTTGTTTATCTTAGTCTTTATTAAAGCTCAATAAAGATTCAAAGTTGCTGAAAATCTCAATTTTTCACACTTTTCCGGCTGTTACCATGGCAACCAAGACACATAGCAGCCAAATTTTATTTGTTATTTGCTTCTGGTGTCAAGTTGTAATATTGGGCAAAGTTTTATCAAAATTGGTGAC